TATGCAGCCTCAATTCTTTTTTTATTGAGCCTCCTACTGAATTTTTTATGTGAGTTATGCTATCAACTCCAAAATTTCTATTTGAGATATATATCTTTGTCTATCTCCATCTCTATTTATTGGAAATGTGCATTTATTTATCCTTTGTTATTATACTTTCTGTTAATTATTATTATACTTTCTGTTAATTACTATTAATAGTTTAAACTATTTAAACACATTGAAAATAGCTGCTTCAAGTCTTGTCTGCAAAATCTAACCTCCAGAGACACTCCGATAGTTTCCACTGGCTTTTATTCCCCCTGAGTATGGGTCATACATTCCAGTAAAAAATAAAGTCTCTACATTCCAGTTACTAGTTTCATATTTCATAATTTTTGTTGAAGACTGGACATTTTGGATAATGATTTCACCATAAAGAATATCTTTGCTGTTTTATTGCTTATTTGCATCTTTGGCTCTGATTTCTTGCTGTCATGTGGAGCTGTTGATGCCTCCGTTAAGAAAATGTTTATGGTTTTATTTATTTATTTTTTATGATTGGGTCTCAGGGTGCCTGGGTGGCTCAGTCAGTTAAGTGTCCGACTTTGGCTCAGGTCATGATCTCATGGTTGGTGGGTTCAAGCCCCGCGTTGGACTCTGTGCTGACCAGCTAGCTCAGAGCCTGGAGCCTGTTTCAGATTCTGTATCTCCCTCTCTCTGTGACCCTCCCATGCTCATGCCGTGTCTCTCTCTCTGTCAGAAATAAATAAAACATTTAAAAAAAAAAGATTGGGTCTTTAGGTTTTTGTTTCCATATCTCTATAGCTTAGCGGATGGCAAATGATTAGAGATAGTTTGTGCTCAAACATCTCAAACTAGTAAGGTTTTCATTTCCTGTAGACAGGTCTGTGCATATGGGGGAGGGCATTCAAAATTCAGAATATATTTGCATCTACCTAGGATTTGCTTTCCCCTGGGATTTTTCTCATGTGTGTTTTCTTAAGTGGTTGTGCACAATATTATGGCCAGCTAAGACTTTGTGAATTGCTCGGTCTTTCTTGGCTCTCTGCTGCCTATGTGTGAAGACTCAGCCAGGAACATGCTTGCCTCAATCATGTTACCACTTCAGGCCATTGTCCTCACTCTGGGTGAAGATCGTGACATCTATTGAAAGCATCTCTGGATATAATTGTTCCTCACTGCCCTAAATTACTTCAATAAGACAGTGCAGTTGCTGACCCTCATAGCCTGCCTGGCTGGTACACATTCTATACCAACCCAGTAATAAGAGTATCCCTCAGTAAGAACATCACAGACTCGCATTGTTCTAAAATCAAAGTTTAGCAGTTTTTCAAGCATAAATGCTTATCAGATTGACATAGGTTGCTGGTCAATTTCCAGAGTGTTATAATGATTGTTTTGGTCAATTTTGTCTAGATTTATAATTGCTTTTTGGGGAAAGGATTTGCTAACCTTGTTTTTCAGCTATAACCTTAAGTGCCACCTCTAAGGGTAATTAGAGGTAATTGATATTGATTTCAAAACCAGATATGAATACTTAAAAAGAGAAAAGTATACACTCATTTTACTTATGAACAGTTTCAAATTTTCTAAATACTGACTATTCAAATTCAACAGTGCTTTGGAAATATATCATGGCTAAGTATGATTTGCCCTAAGAAAACATGAATAGTTTAATATTAGCAAATTTATCAAGAAATTTATTACATTAATAGACTGAAAGAGAAAAATTAGAAAATTATTTCAATAGTTGCAGAAATGGCATTTGATAATGATCAAAACAGATTTAGAAGATTAAGAATAGAAAGAAATTTTTTAACTTGCTCTAATTTATTTTAAAAACACCTACAGTAAACATACTTAATGGAGAAACTTTAGATATATTCCTTTTAATATATGAAGAGAGGGCAATCTGATGTTCATTATCATCACTACTATTTAACTATTGAATTCAAGATCCTGGCCAATGATATAAGAAAAGAGAAAGAAATAAAGTAGTGATGAAATCCAAAAGGAAGTTATGAAACACCTACCATCTCGTATTACGCAGATAATGTGATCAACTACCAAGAAAAAATGATAGAATTAACAGATAAACTATCAGAATTAACAGAAGATATCATAAAGCTGTTCAGTGTAAGATTAACCTATAGAAATCAAAAGAATTTTTCTATACCAACAATAACCAGATAGAAACACCATAAATAAAATACCAATGAAAATAGCAATAAAATTATAAATTTTGTAGGCATTAGCAAAAATTATAAAAATCTCTGTTGAGAATATAGACTCCATGAAGTACACAGAAATTATTATGAATTAATGATAAGGTATTCTGTGTTCTTGAGTTGGTCAAGTTACTCCTATAAAAAGTCAATTTTAGGGGCACCTGGGTGGCCCAGTCTGTTAAACGTCCAACTTTTGCTCAAGTCATGATTTCGTGGTTTGTCAGTTCACAGCCTACATCTGGCTCTGTGCTGACAGCTTAGAGCCTGGAGCGTGCTTCACATTCTGTGTCTCTCTCTCTGCTCCTTTCCCACTCACACTCTGTTTCTCTCAAAAATAAATAAACATCTTTTAAAAATTCAATTTTACTCAAATTAATTTACAAATTCTTTGTATCCCTAATCACTTTGGGTTCCCAAACTCAAGTTAGATTTTCCATAAACTGAATAAACTATTTATTTGTAATACATGGGAAAATACACATCTATGCATACCTCAGTCAACTTTGAAAAAGATGAATTAAGTAAAGGGACTTGCCTTATTAATTACTAAAGCAATGAACTCATCTAAACAGAATACTTAGAAACACACACATACACACATATAAACTTAATATTCTACACAATTGACAACCTAAATCATAAATAAATGAATCAATCAATTAAAAAATAGTCTCTGCACAGACCAAATACACTAAAGATTATGAGGAATTGGATGAGGGTGATAGAAATGAAATGGTAAAAAAAAAAAAAAAAAAAAAAGAAATGAAATGGTAAAAAGGAGTCATATTTGGGATATATTTTGGAGGCAACACCAATGAGAGTTGTAGATGGAATGGATATTAGAGTTGGAAAATGAAAAAAATGACATACTAGTGAAGGAGAAATTGATGATGCAAGAGAGAAAGAATGTCTGTAGGAGGAAACTTCTTGAACTGAAAAACACCTTACCCCGAAAGTGAGGATCAGGGTTGATTTTTGATGTGAAGAATCTAAGCACAAAAAATGGGTAGATTTTTCTCTCTTATAGTAGAAAGTAACAACAATAACAGTATAATTACATGAACCCATTCAAACACAAATAAGTAAAAATCTAAACAGAAGTTACCTGAAAGACCCAGAGACAAATATGAACTACCTTAATTTACAAGTACTTTCCTAGGTGGCAAAATAAGTAACCATAAGAACTTAGGAGGTAAAAATTATGTAACTCAGGCATAAAATGATTATAGAAAGGTATAACATCTTAAAATTTCAAATTTTCTTAGACGTCCTACTTGATTAAAATTCAGTAAATATATGCTTACACGTGAAAACACCTGACTAGCAATATTTAGAAATAGCTTTGTTAGAATTGGTATGTTTGTGTAATTCAGATTTTGGTTTGTATTTGCTTGTATTTTATATTTTAAAACATCATTTATTAGTTTCTCATGAAGGAGAAAGATGGGGAAGAGAAGGTGGAGAAAGAGAATAGATCTTGCTGAAGGAGCCTCTCTCTAAATGTGACCAATAAGGGCAGAATTGGAACTTACCGGTGAACCTTTCTGATCTCCATAGATGTTACAGGGCACAGAAGAAGCTTGTTTTTGCTCAGATAAAGGATTTTCAGTGATTGACCAATTGAGTGGCGAGTGTGTTATTGTTTTAAAACTGAGACTGGTTGAGTTCAAGCAAAGAATTTGGTTGACTAGGTTTACTGTGGAGGCTAAGATTCTCAGACATCCTGAGTAACATTGACAGGGAAAATTTTACCTTGGTTAGCCCAGGGATGTTACAGTAATTTGGGTGTGCCTCCCGTGACTGATCATTTTAATTATGTGTCAGGGACAGGAGAAGAAGAGGGGAAAGAAGATATTGGAAAAGAAACTATAGAGGTAATCTGGAGTGATACGAATTGTCAGGATTCCTAGTATTAACCCAGCTTTGTCAATAACTTACTGTGACACAGTGTACACTAGAAATTTCCCTCAGCCTGGGTCTAGAATTTCTATTTTTTGTAGAACTACAAAAATTGTGTATATATAAAAAATATTAAAAACTGAAATCATTGTGTGGTGGCTGGTAGCTATGCAGTTTCTTTCATTTTATTTGATTTTTTATTAAATTTTTTTTTTACCACAGAATGTTTTTCTCAAACAAATATTAGCTTGTATTCCAATCTACAAAATAGATATAAACAAGCAAATCTAGTTGAGTTAGGGAAACTACAGGTATCGGAAAGGACATGCAGTAAGAAGTAAAGGAAGAAAAGAAAAAAGAAAGAAAAGGAATCAGATGCCTGGTAACACATGTTAAACCCTGTACTTGGCTTCTTAAACTTAGTTTCTGATTTGATCCACATTCCATTTCACAGATGAAAAAGCTGAGACCCAGAGACACATGAGTTGTCCAAGCGACACAGACAATAAGTAAGAATTCTGAGATTTGAACTTAGTTCTAATAGTTCCATGAAAGCTCTTGCTAAAGCTTTCAGACAGGACAGGAAGAATGAGAAGTGGCTATGGAAGGCAGACATCACACTCACTTACTCCACCTTTTAGCATCTGTCAGTGGCCAAAATGTTTCCTGAGAGTTATGTCCTGGGTTGGGCGTAGGGACAAGCTGTACCAGATAGTTAGCCCACCCCTGGACTAAGCCATGTTCCCTCCCTTCTAAGTAGTTGGCTTCACAACAGGTATGACCTAGTAACTGGGAAATAAACAAACAGTTCTAAATAGCCAAACATAATCTTGAAAGCAAATATGACAAGCTGACTTCAAATAATCTCACCGTTTCTGGGGCAGTGGCCTGAGTGGCTCTTGTTAAATGCCTAGCCCTTTTCTGGGATTTTGCTTCTTTTTCCCTGAAAGAGAGCAAGGAAAAGCATAGCTTGCTTAGATATGTTTTCCCAGTTTTGGGGATAATAGCATACATGTCAAACTTAATTTTGACTCTTCTCCTAAGCTCAGTCAGGTATATCAGAAGTGGAGGTATGCGCAGAAATGAGCAAAGGTACCATAAATGTCTCCTCAGTACTGAAAAATATCTCAGATATGGTTCTACAGAAGGCAAGAATCTTTACCTTTAACTGCACAATGACTTCTCCCCCACCGCTTTAAATGCTTTCAACATCTAGCTGGTCACCAACTCTAAAAGCCGTCTCTGCCACTGTTGGAATAGTCTCGTTGAAAGGCCATATTCACACTGAACCAAAAATCTGTCTGTTTTGTTTCTGGTTCTATACTTTAAGGTCCCACAGAGCAAATTCCGAAGTTTGAGGATAGCTTTTATGCCTTGCCCAGTTTCCTTTCCAGTTGAAGAAATCAAGTATATTTCACCATAATTTAAATAGGTAATAAAAGTAATAATTGAGCGAATGACTTCAAAGAGATAAACTGCCTTGTACGTCTCAAGGCATTTTATCTTTGTTTTAAATTATTTTTCAATAAATGTACTAGATCCATAGTTTCAGGCTCCTTTCAAGACATCTTATGTAACATATGTAACAAGGAGGCAGCTTTGTAGTAAATAACACACCTGCTGGTAGACATTCAGGTTTCAAGGGAATAACTTGCCATAGGTCTTCCCCATCCCCACCCTCTAAGTCTTGCTTTTTTTCCTTCATCTTCCCACAGTTTCTTCACTAGGAGCAGCATGTGTGATCATAGCTTCATTATCCCAATATTATTGACTATGTCAAATTAAATCCCCTGCGATTTAATTAGCATTTAAGAAGCTAATTATAACATAATTATCTTAAATGGATAAGCTTAGGGTTGGCTTAGTATCAGTGGTGAAGTTTTGATGGTGGTCAGAAATTAAAGATGCCCTCCCTGTTCAAAAACGAAATAGAACATTTTGATTTGAGGATTTTCTATTGATAACAAGCCTTCTTCCACCTGTGGGTGTCATTGAAGAGAAGGAAGTCAAGTTAAGAAGCATTACAGAGACGTTGGTAAACTTCCAGGATGCTCACCCTTTCTGAGCTGCAGAGTTGTAGAAAATAAAATGAATTCTTTAGACCATCTCATCCTAGTGTAATCCTAGATGTCTATAGACATTGAGAGCTCACAGGGTCAGAGTGCAGGGTGTTTCCTGCTTAAAGCCTCTACTGGTTGGCTGCCATAAGGAGAGTTTGGCATCATTCCCAGGGGGAGTGGCTTTTCTCAGTCCTGAGGGTACCACAGAGTCAGGGCTTAACACAACTAAGAATTCTTTTTTCCCAGGTCAGGAAACTCAAATTGGAAATACATCCTCAAAAGACTGTTAAGTGCTATGTAAGGTATTAACCCTCTACCCTCCAGAATGTTTTGGAATGCCATTTGAGTGATTTAAAAATCTTTCTAGGAGGTACCTGGGTGGCTCAGTCATTTAAGTGTCCAACTCTTGATTTCAGCTCAGGTCATGATCTCAAGGTTCATGAAACTGAGCCGCACACAGGGCTCTGTGCTGACAGCACAGACTGGTATTCTCTCTCTCTGTCTCCCTCTTTCTCTGCCCCTCTCCCGCTCACTATTGTGCTCTCTCTCTCTCTCTAAATAAATAAATAAGTGTAAGTTAAAAAAAAATCTTTCCAGGTAGGAGGTACTTATCCAACTTCACCTGATAAGGGGTGTCAAAGAGATCTGCTGATCTGCTAAGCATTTAGGTTTAGAAAAGTACATTTGATGGGATATAAAATGAATACATTTACTAGTTCAAAGAATAGCTGGTAACTCAAACACTTAAAAGAAAGAGGACTTTTACTCACAGTATCATTTTGCACATGGCACATCTGCTGATGAATGCCATGCCATCTGGGCTTTGAAAAAGTTTTTTATCTTGGGAACAAAATAATTTTCCATTTTTCATCAATGGCCGATATTCATTGCATGTTTCCTAAGAAAAAGATTTTAAAAAGTGTGTTTACTGAATCTCATCAAACCAAGGCTTTACCTTCTAAGAATTTCCTTGAGCAATATTATTTAGTCACCACTACCTGCTTTATATAGAAGCCATTCACTCAACTGACACAAATAACACAAATGTAAATAATGACTAGATTGTCCCTTGGAAATTGAAAATTCACTTAATAAGCATTCATCTAAAACAGTTAGTAAAATGGAAAAAGACATAACTTCATATTCCAGGGTTGTCATTCACAAGCCCAGTAGCCTTCTCAAATTAACTTCTCAATGGATAACTTACCCTATCTATAAAAATAGAGGCTATAACTTCATACATTAAATGTATGTGAGGATTAAATACTGTAACTGTGTAAAGTCTTCAAAGATGCCTGATACATAGTAAATAATCAATAATTACATTCTCCTCCTCACCTCCTCCTTTATTATTATTGTTGCTATTATTATTATTGGAATATGATGCATATAAGATACCCAGCACACAGTAGGTCAATAATAACTGCTGTCAAAGGGAACATGAAAAGACTACTTAAAAAGTTAATTCGATATATTTTAGGGAAGGTTTGCTATATGTCACTTTTTTAGGAACTTAAAATCAACGGTGCATTTGCACTATCTCATAAAAAACTAATTTAATATGTCATACTTGCTATTAGTTTATAAAATCCACTAAGTATTTAGAGCTATCCTTTAGAATCTAAGCTCTGTGGGTTTTTTAAATTTTGTTTTGATTTTGCCAAAAAAATACTGCTTCAAGATGTTTGTATCAGAAAAAAAAAAATTAAATACCTTTGCATCCAACTCTGACAAATATGGCCTCTTCCAAAGAATTGGCCATAGAATTGTCTGGCCTCCTATGTCTTTATAATAATCATTCAATCAGTTAACAAAAACTCATTATGATATGAATATACTTTGCTAGGTGCCACCGATATAGCTAGGTGCATGGATAGAGCAATGAGGCAGAAGCATCCTTGACTAAATTGTGCTTACCATCTCATGGAGACTAAGGATAATGATGTACTTCACCTAGTCTTTTCAACATGGGAAACAGTTGGTAGCACTAGCAGAATGATAAATGGTGAAGAAGAATAACTAAATAATATCAGATCAGAGACAAGCCCTGGGAAATTTTGCTAATGGTGACCTACTAAAATATCTCAGAAAATGATTATCACTATTTATCTGAATAGCACAGCAATAATTTCTGGCAACAGACTGATGACTGGGTCTCTTGATATCTGTCTAGTCTCTGATTCTACAGTATCTATTTTTTTAAGTTTATTTATTTATTTAGAGAGAGAGCGAGAGCAAGAGTGAGAGCTAGAGAGACAGAGAGAGAGAGAGAGAAAATGAGCAGTGGAGGGGCAGAGGGAGACAGAATCCCAAGCAGGGTCTGAGGGCTTGAACTCATAAACTGTGAGATCATGACCTTAGCCAAAACTCAGAGTCAGATGCTTAACCGACTGAGCCACCCAGGTGCCCCTGATTCTATAGTATTTTATGCCAACATTGCAAGTTACTGCTTAGCTTGCCAAACAGATCTGATTCCATAAAATCTAGATACAACTTTTTCATATAGAGAAGAGTCTGGTGTTTTCTGTGATAGAAACATATCCTTTGTGAGTTAAGACAGAACTCAATGCTGTTTTTCTGAGTTATGAAATAATCCAATGTATCTCTTGGGAAACAGAAAAAGGCCATAAAAATTAAAAGCAGGAGGTGGGTATTTCCCTGGGAAAAACAGTCCTTGGCTTGTTTTCACTTTGTTTTGTTTTGTTACTGTTGCTGTTGTGTATGTCTTCTCTACATGTCTCAGAAAACCTAAAGGCCTCCAGGGCTAAGCTCTTTCCTTCACTGGCTATGACGTAGCTCATTGTCTTCTACTGTCCTTTGTCCAACATGATAATACAAATCCTCTAAGAACTGGTGTTACCTCCATTCTGAGTTAGGGCACTAACAAGGTCCTTTTGACTCTATAATAACCCTTCTGCCATGACAAATTTAAATATATGGTAAAGATCCCTGCAGATTACTACAGTGCTTTTCTGTGCTATTCTGGCTCATGTTTATAACATTCAACATGCTTTTCTGGTGCTATCAAGAACCCAATTTAGAAAATAAGATTCCAGCACCATAAGAAAGACTAAATCAATACTTTGCATTTCTGATAAAATATATAAAAACTGTTATCAGAACTATTTCCAGAGACATAATTATTTCTTTGTGTTCTTCTTGCCTATGCCAACAAAAAGGGTGGCTAAATTTATTTTTAAAAGAAACAGAGTTTGTACAAAGTCACAGTTGCAAAAATTAGAACTATCCACCAGAAATCTCCACCCATTTTCATAGAGTCAGAAAAGGAAAATTATGGCTTCATGCACAGTGAGCATGCTCTTTGATTCCCCCAAATCCAACTTTTTTTCTACTCTCCTCTACTACCCTACTTATTCCATAGAGGTTTCTGAGCCTCTCTGTAAACAGAAAACTTAAGACGAAATAATAGAGATTATGGTGAGATTTTCTAGAGGGGGTGCCTGGGTGGCTTAGTCGGTTAAGGGTCTGATTCTTGATTTTGGCTTCGGTCATGATGTCATGGTTTGTGAGATGGAGCCCCGGGTCGGGCTTTGGGCTTTAGATCTTTATTTTAATGCTATCTTTTCGGAGAAAACTTACTTGACTATCCAAAGGAGAACTGATACTGCCTCCATCCCCAGAAATTTCTATCATCCATCCTACTCCATTTTTTTCCTGTAAAACTATACTCTATATTTTATTAATTTACTCATTAACTTCTCTCTTTTCCTCCACTAAGATGCAACTTCCACAAGGGCTGGGTTCCTGTCTGTTTCCTTATTTTCCAATATCCCCAACATCTCAAACAGGGTCTGACAAATGAAATATGAAATACAAATGCTGACATACACATACAAATATATACTAGGTACAGACAACCCCTTTATACCCAATAATCACAGGAGCACGCACTTCAGTTTCCTATGTGTGTTATGACTTTTTCAGCTGTTAAACTGAACAATACTAATTCACTGGTTTGTTTATGGAATTTTTTTTAAGTTTATTTATTTTGAGAGGGAGACAGAGAGAGAGAGGGGCAGAGGGGCAGAGAGAGAATCGCAAGCAGGCTCTGCGCCTTGAGCACAGACCCCATCCTGGGGCTGGAACTCACGAACTGTGAGATCAAGACCTGAGCCGAAACCAGGAGTTGGAAGCTTAACCAACTGAGCCACTCAGGTGCCCCTGTTTGTGGAACTGTAAAGCACTCCCTTAGCACGGGAGATTGCCTCTCGCAGACAACCATCATCACTACTACGTTGATGTGCGTGCCTGTGTGATTCATGTCTTCCTTCATAAAGACTTGTTTCTGTTTTTAACAAAAGCTATTAGTACCTATCAGTATAATATGTCTGTATTATTAATGTGAAGGTGTTGGCCACAGATCATTTTTCTTTAGAGATCTTGGAATGGATTCAATGAACAGAAAAAGCAGGACTAACCTGATTTTCATCCTCACTGACAGCATCTGGGACAAAAATACAGAAACCAAAGTTAAGGAATGTAGGCTATTCAATAAATAAACATTTCACTCAGTGCAGTGTCTTGCTTATATTAATGGCAATATGTTATAAAACCACAAATTGTTTCTGAACACATTACAGTTTACGATGGCAACTAAGATGAGGGCACTGCACCAAGAAATCAGCACACACACTCACAGAGGTCCAGTCACTCATAAAGGCCTAATTACTTTGGAAAATAATACTCATATACTTTCTTACCTCCTCAAAATACCTGATTTCAAACAGATCCTTTCACAGCAAAGTATGGGAGGCCTATCTTAAAATTATAATACAACAAATATCAAATATATCATATCAATTATAATTTAAAAATAAAATGTAGCATAAAGTTTATATCATATATACAGATAAAATTAAAATTTCTGAATTCTGGTAAATCTGCCTCCTTATTACAGCTACATAAATTAGAGATTTGACAGAAGTTAAGAATAATTAAAATCCCAGGCTATTATACTCTCTTATTAACAGACTCTTTCCTCCCCTTTTTTTAAATGTTTATTTTTTGAGACAGAGAGAGAGACAGAGTGCGAGCGGAGGAGCGGCAGAGACAGAGGGAGACACAGAATGAAAAGCAGGCTCCAGGCACTGAGCTGTCAGCACAGAGCCTGATGCAGTGCTCGAACTCCATGGATAGCAAGTTTATGACCTGAGCCAAAGTCGGACGCTTAACTGACTCAGCCACCCAGGTGCCCCAACAGACTTCCTTTTGTACTTCCGCACTTATTTTAGGAAAGTGGGCATCATTTATGTATAATATCCTCCAGACTCTTGATCTCTGAGGTTTTCTTTAAAAAAAATGCTTCAGAGAAGATTGAACCTAGGCAATTCATGTTTCCTTCAAATTCAAGTAGCAAGTGCAAAAACTTACCTTCTACTTCTTACAAAAGCCTCTTACTCTTTAGGAAAGATGTTTTCAATCCATTTAGGATTTGATACTACAAAAATGAAATATGCTAGAAGGCAGTGTTACTTTAAAATAGAAATGGATGATTGAATTTGATCTTTATTGTTTATATATAGTACTATATATATAAAATATACATCTAAGTTTTAAATATCTATTACATACATAATTCCTATCAATATGAATTGATATGCTTGGTTAGGGAAAGATGAAGAAGAATCTATTAGCTTTTCAGAACTAATACAGAATTAATAGAAGGATTTCTCATGGATAAAACTTCAGCTTATGTCAAACTACTTGCCATTTCTAAAGATAACAACATAATTATTTATGAAGCCACATATGTAATTCTTCAAAATTCTATGTGGCAACATATTTCAAGATCATACATACACACATATATACGTACACACAAGCATAGACATTTGAGAAGTAGGGGGAGAGAGACAAGTCCCTGCCTAGGGCTTTGCCATGTGAGGCAAGAGGCTTAGATTACATGCAAATCGCTCACCTTGTATAAGGCAAAGAGCCAGGGTCAGAAGCATTGGCACTGTGGCTATCTTCATGTTGAAGATGACGTAAGTTGGTTACAAGTCTGCTCCGTGCATTGCTCACCAGCTGGTGCTCTAAGACTGAACCCGTGGAGATGCAGCCTAGTTTTTATATACCGGTAAATACTGGTTGACACCCACAGCAACAGCCAACATTATAAAACCAGTTGTTCAAGGTCGTGCTAGACTTAATATACCACATTAATTTGGTTTCCATCCTTTAGCATCCTGTCAAGGTAGCAGATTTGAACAGACAGTGTTTATTCCTACACTTCTAATATGTTTTCAAGATACCTCCCCCAAAAGGCAATAGATTGAGTCCAAGAACCTTATTAAAGTTTAATACTCCATAGTCCTATGTAAGAATTGAATTCTTCACCAAGACCAGACACATTACTTTGCAGACAAACGTGTTTCTAACTGGGCTCCCTTCATAAGTGAGAGAGGAGGGAAGAAGACAGATGGATTACCCTACTAGTCGGGTAGAGACGTACAGATTCCCACATCTGGAGAAAGTTGCCTGTAGTAAGAGAAGCTGTTGATTCCATCTGCAGATGTTTTGAAGTGTCTCAGTTCAGTGCCACGGACTCATGTTTGAGTTAGAGTTAACAACCCACAGAGGCAACCCAGCAAGATTCTAACACTGAGTACATGGGAAAGCTGAAAATCAGAAAAGGAACACTGACTTTGCCAAGAGCTCACAGTTTAGAAGGAAGACTTGGAGGTAGTACATGAAGAAGACCACAAGTTCAACACTTTTTTCCAACTCCACACACTGCACACGTAAGTTAAGTCAGAAACTGTGTGAAATCAAAGCTTGCACATAACTGCTTTTAAAAATCCTCAATCTGAAGGACATTTTATATTCTAACACCTTATTTTTCAGTCTAACCAAACATCGTAATCATAAACATTACAGTCACCAGCTTTAAGTATCCACAACCCATCACTCCCCAAATTACTGATTGAAAAATTTGCCTCAATCAGTTTTCTTGTAAATTTAGTTTACTCCTATAGTGACTCATTATTTGATCTCCCAAGAAGGAAAGAAAGAATAAAACATTTAAAAATACGAACATATCAATGTACCATTTTTCTAGAGATAGTATCTTCTCCTTAGTTCCTTCTTCCATTTTATGAGTAACACCTTTTGTCTACCAGCTTATTCTACTCCAGTAGCTCAAGAAAGCACCTGAAAAATCAGGTAAAAGTGGCTGAAGCCAGAGCCTAATGGTTTGATTCAGTCCTCCAAAGGGTCTCTACATTCATAGAGGGAAAATTTTAAACTTTATGGGATCAAAGTCCTTTTAAAGATTCTTCCATAAACTGATCTAAGGCTAGCCAATTTGAGAATGATGTCAATATTCTGGATACCATCAAAGCCAGAGTATTTCCTTTTCCTTTTTTAAAAATGAAATAACTTATTTCTTATAAAAGTATAATCATTGGTTTCAAGGTCTGTGCTTTGTTTCTTGCTAATTGTTTGGCAAAATGAGTGCCTATGGAAAGCAAATTCAAACTGCATTACTGCTACAGATTAGAAAATTGATATCCATCATAGCATAATAGAAAGAGAATGGAACAGAGAGTCAGGAAATTTGTTTCTTTTCCTGTCTTTGCAACTGCACAAGATGATGGAAATTAATCTGGCTTTAACGTATGGTAGACATGGGTCCAATCTTGACTCACCAGTTACTAGCTGTTTTGCCTTGGGCAACTCACTTATTTTTTCTCAGCCTCAGTTTCCCAATATGCAAAACAGGGGTAACAAAATTGCAATATACAATTGGTGTAAGAGTTAGAGGAAATTCCTGTGTGTGTGTGTGTGTGTGTGTGTGTGTGTGTGGTGTGTAAGGCTTAGAGCAATTTTGAGTACAGTGATAAGTCGTATAGTTAATTATAGCTGGTCTTGCACTTTTATGTTATTACAATGATGTAGTTGTATTAGGTAATTTCAAAGATCCCAAGAAAAGTCAGCATCTCTTGGACATGGACCTCAACAATAGACTTAAGTTTACTCAACATGGAATAACACCCCCAACACATGCTGAACTAAAATTAAAAAGTCAAGATGTAAATTCTCCTTTTCATTTTATTATGTTATCTTTTTTTTAAGTTTTATTTTAGAGAGAGGAAGCGTGCACACACATGCAAGTGCCAGCAGGGGAAGGACGGGGGTGGGGGGAGAGACAGAGAGAGAGAGAGAGAGAGACAGAGAGAGAGAATCTTAAGCAGGCTCCACACTTAGTGTGAGAGCCTGACACAAAGCTTGATTCCATAACCCTAGGATCATGACCTGAGCTGAAATCAAGAGTAAGATCCTCAACTAACCAAGCCACCCCGGCACCCTGATTTTATTATGCGCTAAATCACAAAACCTAAAACAAATCAGAGCATTTGCTGTTTAAAACTTGTCAAAGTCATTGCAAGATTTCAATCACCATTGGTTCCTTAGCTTTCTCTGTACAACTGTCTTCTAAATATTGACACACCAGTACCGATTTTTTATTTTTTATCTGCTTTGTCAGATTATATGAAATGGGACCCAACAATACACTCTATTACTGGTGGCAAGAAAGTTTAATGCCTTACAGAATTGGTGACTGTATAATATGCTCCAATGAACCCCAAACCTCGCTCAAATGGATAGTATTCCCAGGAGTGGAAATGATGTGAGGGTAGAACAAAAGAACAAGAGATTATTGCATCTCTAAAGAATCTCTGCTATGAGGAAAGGTTGAGGAGTTGGTTTCCTTCTTACTGGAAAAGTGCTCCTCACTGACACCCAGTACGTCCTGAAATGATGAATAAGAAGTATGGAACAGACAGCCTCTTCTATAAAGAGAGGGAGCCAAAAGAAGATTCAGTAAGCACTCCCAATATTGGAAGGAAAACCAGCTGCCTCTTGACATCAGAGCTTTTTCTCCATTTCATTTCAGGAATGTTCTAAATCCAGAGGTGATTCATCACATACTCTGTTAATCACTCCATGTTTCTGACAACCACAACATTTCAATTCAAATGAATGGGACTGAGGTTTTAGAAAACTGGGGTTTGGGGTATCGGAGTACTTGTGTGTGTGTGTGTGTGTGTGTGTGTGTGTTTGGTTCTGAAAACTGTTTTCTCTTCAGTTATTTTGCAATGTATCGTGAACATCTCTTCCATGCACATGAGTGAAAATGTCCTACTGATGGAGAACACTGCAGTTGGAGCAAAAGGCTGCTGGTAACAAGAGAGATACCTAAAGCAAAGTATCAGCTTAATGTTAGAGCACATAGTATGGCAAATGCCTGCTAGGGAAAGCAGAGTCAGCAATATTTTCATCAGAGAAATCAGAATTTAAGACCAAAGGCATTAGAGATACGGGATATCATGGAAGCCCATTTAGCTGCTACTTCCACCCCTCACTCTCCTGACACCCATGGTCCCCCTGGGGAGAATGGATCTGGTACGTATCTTTGCATCCAATGTAAACTAGCCATTTTCTGTTTTTTCCTTAGCTCTTCCTGAGCCCTTGACATATCCTCATACTGCCCGAGTGCCCTTCCTGTAAGTCCTCCTGATAATCCTTGGGGGAATCGTCTGTCCCCCTGTTTTTCTTTTTGCTTTCCTGGGCATGTCATCTTCAGCGGGGCATGTTTCTGCATCCCATGGCTCACTCTCAGGATTTGCCTGGGATTCTGGCTTGCTCTCACTTTATGGTCTTCCCTCATTTTTGGACTTGCCCTGCTTTTCTCTCCCTCATCTTCTGGGTGTCTCTCATTCTAGAACCTTCCCGCATGCCCTGGCTTCCCCCTTCACTTGAGGCTTTCCTTCCTCGTCGGATTTTCCTTCCTCGTCAGATTTTCCTTCAACTTCAGGCCCTGCTTCATCTTCTGGCTTTAGTCTCGCTTTCCAGCTTTCCTTCCTTTTCACTGTAGAGTTTTTTCCATGTTGCCATTTCCCCTTCTTTTCTTGCCCTGCTGGGATTCTGGACGGGTTCAACCTCCCCTTCTAGGCTTGCAGGGCTTTGGGGACTGACACACAGAGCTTCGAGGACTGGCAGGCCCGCCTGTCCTCTAGCTCCTCAAGCCCGCCCCGTCTCTGCCCTTTCCCCCCTCCCCCGCCGCCCCGTCCCGCGCACACGGAGCAGGTTCTGCGCAGGCACAAGAGGCAGAGAGCATGCGTACTTTTCCTTAAATTCCAAACTCCATCTTTTTTTGCTTCACTTTTTAAATTATTCATGAAACACGTAGAACCTTTTTTCCTCTCATGAAAAAGGAATGGAGCTAGAGTACAAGAAGTATAAACTTTACAATTCAAAGCAGGTATCAAGTGGCCCAGAATCTGAATTCACATCCCAGGATATTGACACAGAGGAAAGAGATAACTATAAAAGTAAACGAGGTTTTGTAGACCAATCGTGTTGCTAAAGACCAAATTTATTTCCAAAATCCAAAGTCACCAGACTGTGGTTCAAATGTTCTCTTTTTCTTTCTAGAGATATCCTTGATGATCACAATACTTTAATAAATAACTATAGTCTCTTACGATAAAATCACCTCTGCACTTTCAAAAAAATCTGCCATTATTAGCTGTCTTGATTTGTATATGCAATGACGTGAGGCAGCAAAGTACATGTTATTGTCCTTTTCTTACCTGCCCCAGATGGTACCATGAATGAACCGCAGAGCAGGAACTAGCTTGGAGAGTAATCCCAGGCTTGCCACTTTCTCACTTTATACACCCAATAAGGCTCTCCCGGAGCCTTTCAGGGACTTCAGTGAGAATCTAGACATTATAATGCTGTAAACTGGGGACAGCATGCTACTGCTAATTGAGTTCTTTCTTCTCATGCCTGCTGTCACACACTCATACAATCGCACACATACACACACAAAACGAGCAAAAAGAAGCATGTTGTGATCATGACTGTAAAGTATATGCCTTCATCGTAGACGATGAAGTAATGTATGTTTTATTTTCTTATCCTTAAATTCCTTTCCTATAATTATCATATTTTTCCCCATTAATTTAACATTTCTGTCTGTATTCTCTTTTTTGAAAGACGCTAATTGGAAAACAGCCTTCACACACCTTTG